GTCCACCCATGCAACACACAGAAGAACAGTGCATGATATAAGTCCTGAGATAGACACTCTTTTCATAGGAACAATGAACATAGACAACAAAAGCACAAAAATGGACAATTCCTGGTATGCAGACATACATACTGGTCCTATGTTGGTCAATTTTAAGCTCGACACAATGTGTTACCTCAAGTTGTGTACAAAACACTCAAGAGGAAAGTCAGACGTGATAAAAGACAATGTTTACAACTGAAGCCCACAAAGACTGTGTTAGTGGCTTACGGTGGAGTCAAGCTGAAACCAGAAGGGACAGTAACATTGGAATGCTCCACAAACAAAACCAAAAGAAATCTTCTGTTCTATGTCTCAAATCACTCAAACACAGCCATCCTACGTGAGGAAGCGTGTGAAACGTTGAATCTAATCAAGAGGATGGACATCGACACAGTCACAATTACATACCCAACGACGAAAGAAGAAATGCTCAAACAACATGCAAGTGTTTTTGAAGGACTGGGTGAATTTTCAGGTGACTATCATATTCACATTGATCCTACTGTGACTCCAGTGATACATGGCTGTAGAAAAATACCACTAGCAGTTATGGACAGATTAAGAGACACTCTCGATGACCTGCTGAAAACAGACGTTATTAAACCAGTGAAAGAGCCTACAACATGGGTGAACAGTTTAGTCATAACTGAGAAGAAAGACAAAAATAAGTTAAGGGTGTGTCTGGACCCTACAGATCTGAACAAAGCCATTTTGAGGCAACACTACTTAATTACGACTGCAGATGAAGTCTTATGCAAATTGTCAGAAAAGAAGATCTTCTCAGTGCTTGATGAAAAGGACGGCTACTGGCAGATCAAGCTGGATAAAGAGTCATCATTTCTGTGCACCTTCAACACACCGTGGGGGCGCTATCGATTCAAACGGCTCCCGTTTGGAATCAAGTCGGCGAGTGAAGTGTTCCAGCAGCGCAACTGTGAAAAGTTTGGGGACATTGCTGGTGTTCACATTATAGCTGATGACATGATTACGGCTGCTTCCACAGAACAGGAGCATGACGAGATACTGCACAATGTGATGACCAGAGCAAAAGAAGCTAATGTCAAATTTAACAAAGACAAACTCCAATAAAAGGTAAGCAGTGTTAAATACATGGGACATGTCATTACAGCAGAAGGTGTTAAAGTAGACCAAACAAAAGTGAAGGCAATTGTTGACATACCTTCACCCGCAGACAAGCCTGCATTACAAAGAGTGCTGGGTATGATAAAATCAAGCATCCTGAGAAAGCCGCTGGAAGCTGCGCCATCAAGACTACAGCGGATGCTACTACAACTGCAACGATATGACCTCAATGTCATATACACGCCAGGTAAAGAGCTGCTGATAGCTGAGACACTTTCACGAGCAACTTCACTAGACAATCAGAGAATGTGACATTTTTGATGAAAAGGTGATTTATGCCATTGAGCCAACAGAGGCCCTGTGCCCAGAGACTCTTGCACAGCTAAAGACAGAGACACAAAATGATGACACGTTACAAGTGTTACAGAACATTCATAAGAGAGGCTGGCCACAACACAGAAAACAAGTTGACAATAAAGTGGTACAGTACTGGCCCATCAGACATACAGTGTCAGTGAAGGAAGGAATAATGTTTGCAGGAGACAGAATTATTCTTTCTCCAAGTACCCTGAAGTGTTGAACATCAAAGACAAGACAGGTAACACAGTTATCAGTAAAATGAAGTCTGTATTTTCCAGAGTTGGAATACCAAAAGAAATAGTCTGTGATCATATGCCCAGTGTTTCCGCCAGGAATTCGTTTGCGGGGGGACCGCGGGGTGGGGGGTCGAGGTCCGATGCCCCAGAAAAAAAATTGACACGTTTATTGCAGTAATTTTTGTTAATATTTTTCATGAGGAGTTAGTGGACATGTGTGCCTTTAATATGAGCGGCCTTTTTGGAAATGGTTATATTCAAAGTATTAGAGTAAAATGAGTTTGTAAAACACCTGCGACGCGAAGCAGGAGCCGTAGTTCTGAGCGGAGCCAGAGCAGAGCCAGAGGTCTCCAGAGATCAGAGAAGTATTTGGTACTGGCTCACTCAGATTCAGAGGAGGAAGACACGCAGGTGTCCAGTGAAGCAGACACAGACATTATTAGTGACAGGAGTCCGCGCCATAATAGTCCACAGTCAGCCACAGTTTACGTCCTCCGTGTGGCCCCGTGGTAAAGAGGTCCGGCTTTTCGGAGTCAGCGGTAAAGCGGTCCGCACATTGTAAGCGGATGGCCGCTTTATGCTGTTAATTACAGTAACATTGGAAAGAGAAGACGCGGGGATGAGCCGCCACAATGCACTTTTTAACATGAAGCGGCCACGCGCTTCTAATGTGCGGACCTCTTTACCGCTGACTCCGAAAACCCGGACCTCTTTACCGCGGTGTGTGGCCGCAGTGGAAACATTCTGCGAACGCCAGGCAGGGAACGTGGTGAAGGGGACAGGGGGGTCATAACACCGGGCATGTGGGTGAATGCAGCGGGGATAAACAACTGCGGGGAACGCGGGAGGCGTGGCAGAAGCCGCGGAAGAAAACACACAGCTAATCTGCCTTTACGGACGGAGAGGATGATGATGAAGGCAGAGAGGAAGAAAATCCATAAGTCCAGAAGTGTTGAAGAGCTTATTTATTGTTGTTTGTTTATTGTTGAGACAATCTGACAAGTTCTGAGTCCATTCATTTAATCGCTGTTTCTAAACGATGAATTCTGGAACCTCATTTCCACTGAGACAAACAGTATGCCACCAGGTCTTTTGAAAGGGTAATATTGAAACCAAAGTGCAGATTTCATGACTGGTAAACTATAAGCAGTGCCATCTGGATCATTGAAGGTCTAATACATAATACAATTCCATATGGCTGCTGACCAGTGCTAAAATATTCTATATAAATTGGATCAGTGAATTTATTCCCATCCCACATTGTGTTATATACTAAAGATATTTCACGTTGACTGTTGACAGTATTTCCATATCTCAAAATACACTCTCAAACTACAGCTTTTTGAAATCTTTATACAATAATTAACATTTTCCAAAATGGCCATGACGTCGCAATATGCAAATTAGATGACGAATCAACATCCATCCCAAAGTTTGGTTCATACTGAAGATATTTCTCATTTACAATATGCCTTCATCTCAAACTACTTTGAAGTTATAGCCTTTTGAAATCTTGAAATAAAAAAAAAAGAAATGGGCTTAGTGCTGCATGAAAATCCCTCGTCAAAGGCCTGGGCTCCGCACCGTGCTCCTCTTTGCTGTCATCGTTGCAACATGTCCAGAAGCACTAACCATGTTGTGGGTTTAGTCCATGGTTTTGTCAAGGAGAAAATTAGCATACAGCACTTACAGTCATACTGCTAGCTCTCAGACATGGATTTACATTAGTCAGATTAAAGGCACACCGTGTAACTCTTGGCCACTAGGGGCGCTAGACCTGCAACTTTCACGTTTAGCGCCCCTAGTGGCCACAAGCAACTCAGCACTGTCGCAAAAGTCAACAAACAGTCAGCCGGTGTCTTTTGAGTGTGTATTCAGACAGCATGCACTGGTGTGTGTGTTCAAACTGTAGAGACATGCCTACAGATATTGAGAGCCTCTGCTGTGGTCAGCCTCCAGACCGCTGCATTAGTAATCTACCACACATGGACTTCTATATCCTGGATGAGAGAGTTCTGCGTCTAGCTCGTAATGCGTGGAATGACATCTTTGCAGTCGATGACATCCAGGAACCAGGTGAAGAGCAGCGCTCATACAGACATGCAGCTTACAGCACGATCCCTTTCGCGTTTCCTCTTTTTAGCCTCCTCCGAAGGTTTAAAATTTTTCCTTGCCTCAGCCATGACCAGGAGTCGAGCAGGTGAAAAATGAGTAGCAAAAGCCTTAGCTCCATGAGTATATCAGCGCCTGTAGCCGTAAAGCAAGTCTTTCTTCCAAGTCACGTGACCTGGTGGCAGACGGTCCGTCTGCTCGAAACTTACATGGGCGGTATTTCAAGAGGGCAGCCCCGCTCGGAGCATTGCAAGTGTCAAGCGCTGTATATTGGCCCAAGTATTCATATAAAATAACTCATATGTGTCAACTCTTTAGGTCACAAAGTCCGCGGTGTGCCTTTAACCCTTAGCCAATCAGGACGCAGAACACAATACGCTGGTTCTTCCTTAGCCAATCAGGACGCAGAACACAATACGCTGGTTCTTCCTTAGCCAATCAGGATGAACATTGCAAGTTCATATACAGTGAAAATCATGCTATAAATAATTCTGCAAGACCGCGAAAAGAGAACCGCTATTAAGAACAACACATTTTTCCTGTACGGAAGTTTCTGATTTGGTGTTTGTATGTAATTTTTTTACTATCATCATGTTTTAGTTTATAGATTAGACAGTGAGCCAGATCAGATATGTCCCAATAAAAATAATGTTTTTGCACTTTATGAGGTGAGAATTGTATACATGCATGTCTAAGAAAATTGAGGGGGGGATATCCCCCCCTAGGGCCATGGTTAGGGGGGGACTGATCCCCCCCATCCCCCCCTCTGGAGGAAACCCTGTATGCCATTTGCAAGCCAGGAGATGAGAACATTTGCGATGGCGTGGGGCATTAAAATGACTCATTCTAGCCCTGGTTATGCTTGCAGAAAGAACAGTAAAGACTGTAAAATATTTGTTGAAGAAGGCCAAGCTCACCAACTCTGACCCATTTCTCGCACTATTAACGTTGAGAAACACGCCTATAACAGGTATGGACTATTCTCCGGCACAAATGCTGATTGGTAGAGTACTCAGAAGCACACTACCGAGTTCAAGCAGTATTTCACAACCATCGATTCCAACGAATGTGCATTCTACTCTTCAAAAACTCCAGCAAAAGCAGTGCACGTACTACAATAGAGGCACAAAGAAGCTTCCAGAACTACCAGCAGGAGGAACAGTGCACATGCAGACCGAGCGCGGGTGGCGTCCTGCAGTTGTCACCACTTCACGCACTGAGCCACGCTCCTACAACATCGTGACGTCTTCAGGTCAACAGTACAGACGCAACAGGAGACATCTGAGGAAGACACCTAATGACATCCAGGTGTATGATGAACCAGAACACACGGATGATGAACAGACAATCACGATGGGTACTGCTGAGGATGTTTCAAATGCACAGCCCATCTCTCCTCCACGAGCAATCCACGCCAGGAGTGGCAGGATTACTAAACCACCAGAGAGATTCAGAGACTTTGTTATGTAAAAGTCACTATGGTTTATTGTTTAAAAAAAATAAAAAATAAATAGAGAGAGAGAAAAGGCAAGCTTAAATTTGTTTTACAATGATTTATTTTGTGAATTATAAATAACTTGTGTAATGTTATTGCAACTTGTTATCAGAGGGAAAATGTTTAAAAAAAAAATTGAAATGTGTTTTGTGTGAACATTCAGGTAAAGAGAAGTTCCTTAATCATATGTTATTGGTCTAGTTTACAGAAAGACCTCAGTGTTTGCTTTGCAGAAAAGGGAGGATGTAGTATATAGTGCCGCGCACTAATATGTACAGAGGCCCGGCTAGAGGGCGGAGCAATACACATAGTAGTGATATGTTGAAAGGTGTTCAGTGTGTGTGTTTAACGGCTAGAGTGAACGGCCGCAGTTATGATGTCCTGATGCTGCAATAAACCTCAACGAGTCTGAAGGTAACGCCATGTGTCGTCAATAACAATATAAGAAGAACAACAAATATTACAAGGTGTGGACAGGGAGAATTGGGTCAAAAATCTGTCCTAAAGGCCTAAATTTTGCAATAACCCCAAAAGATATTCCTACAATTGAATACATCACAGCAGCAGAAGCAGCCATTAGAAACAACAAACTAACTGAGAGTGAGGCGGGGGCCCTCAGACTGAGAGTCTCTGCAACACTCAAAAGTGCTAAGCCCCCACAATCCAATGTCTCATTAGATGAGCAAAAAGCATTATTGGCATTACAAAAGGATGAGAGTATAACTATTTTACCAGCTGACAAAGGCATTGATTGATTGAAACCTTCTATATACCTTTAATGTGCAGCCATAATAAATGTCACAGAGATGAGCAGTCTTACTTTCCTCACTTTTTGTAACAACTTTGAACAACATGAGGGACATATTGCATCAAACCACAATACTTGCTTTACCACAATATGTTAAAAATGTCAGTAATATTTAATTGTGGCCAAAATATTGCAATACTATACTTTCGAATTGTCACATTTTTGCCTTTCCCCCCTAGTGTGTATGTGGATGATTTGATGTGTATGTTTGTATGACACACGAAAAGCTTTGTGTTGGTGCTTTCTATTCATGTCAGATGTGTCTTCTCTGAGAGTGTCGTCTGATTTACTTTGTAACTGTTGGATCTTTTGTGGAAGAAGCATCTAATTCTTCAAGTTTTTCTTTGCTTTTGCTTCAGGCCTCCAGTCCCAAGCTCACCACACACTGCTCTGACATTCAGGAAGTGCGTCGCTGCAGCCAGCTGGAGATGCCCGACAACTTGAACACCTTCGTAATAAAGGTAATCATTGTAAGATGGCGGGATTTGGACTATTTTGTATTGAATTTCAGTTAGCAATAAATAATCACAGAGAAAAAAATCTATTAAAATGACATACTGTACATGACCATGGTTTGAAATTAGATTGAATGATCAAATACTTTTACTATTCCAATCCCCTCTCACACATTCAATCAAGCTAGTGTATGTTTGTGTGTTGTTTGTCTTCATTTGTTTTATTTTTTGTGTTCTATGGACCTTTTTGTGTGTGTCTGAATTAAAGACTAAATAAACACAAGACTCACAATATATTACAACCTTCGAATATGAGAACAATACCACACTGTAAGTCTCAACAGAACAAATAGCATACAATACACACACACATACACACACACACACACAGACCCTCCTCTCCTCATTCACTCTCTCTTACCTCCACATACTTCTTCAGTGCTTCTTTCCTCCACAGATTTTTTACTTGAATACATTTTAGACAATCTTTCCATTCCACCGTTCTAAATGTTGACTCCACACTGAGACACACATTGATTTTAAGATGGTTCTAAGTGTTATCTGGTTTATATAATTTTTCATTTGTCCATATTTGTGTTTACTATCAAGGTGCCCTGAACAGTATCTGAATGTTTTTTTTTTTAAGTTAATCAAGGGATGAATTAGTGGATAGTAGATAAATGTCTGTGTGTGTGTGTGCGTGTGTGTGTGTGTGTGTGTGTGTGTGTGTGTGTGTGCAGATTAGCAGAGGGAGCCTGATCTTTGAGACGGACAATGAGCAGCAGGTGAGCTCTTGGACCACAGAGCTCAGAGAGTGCATCAGCAACAGCAGGTAACACACCAAACTAACAACATCGTCCACACAACCTCACTCTAGGAGAAGTTGGATTTGTTTATTTGAACCGGGATAATGCACAAATAAGTCTGGTGACAGGTTTTAGCCAAAAGTCCAGTTTCCACCCATATTCCCTCAACAGATGATATAATTACAGTAAGAGAGTGAATATTTCTATTTGGAAAAAGTGTCTGACAAGGCATAAGCAATACCCAATTATTTTTGTCACAGTGAGGAAATATTAATATTAAGAGATCGTTTCACAGTGGAGAAAATGTCAGTGTTGCTTCAGCGGATACAGGCCAGTTGGAACAAGGAGCTCACAACAGAAGATAAATGAACAATAACTCTCAATAACTCTAACTTTAGCATAATAAAGAAGCAGATCTAAAATCTCCAGCTTTAGCATAATAAAGAAGCAAGTAAAACATATCAAATACTGTATATTCTAGAGCAAGAAATATATATTATCAATGTCGCAGTGGACATTACAGAACAGAAGGACTATAAGAAGCGTCAATTACAGAGTGTCATTTCTAAGTTGTCCAGTTGTTAACTTGAACTTGGGCTGCCAATCTGGGGGGAAAAAACAAAAACAATCCTCATATTGACCTAGTAACAAAAAGTGGAGTGTTGAGTTTCCTTGTAAAGGCAAATCATAAAGAGCCCAGAAAGTAAACAAAAATCCAAGGCACTCGTGGTCAATAGTTTAGAGAGTAAAAGCAACACATTTACAATTACACGTATACAGACGACGGTACAAAAAGTCTATAAAACAGTTCATAAAGCACACAACCTAGAGGGCACAGGCTTCCTACTGCTCCACAAATAACCCCATATTGACCTGTTTGTGATGTCTGTCTGAATGCGTGCGTGTTGTTTACAAAGAGAGAGGCAGTGAAAAGGCAAAAGTGGGGCCTTGACTATAGGACTAGTTTTGATCCGAGATCCTCATTCATGTGGTGCCTCTTGTCTTGGACTGTGGTTGTACCTGATTGTGCTCTGAGTCTCCGGACTTTACTTCCTGTTCTTGACTTCTTATGTACTCACACGGAACACAAGAAAACAAAATGATCTATTCCAAAATACTTGAAACACCACTTTGGATTGGCCTTTTCCAATTTTTTTTTTTTACTACTAACTCTTAAAGCTGGGATATCTAACTTGTTTTTTTGTTTCATAAATTCTATTTGGCTGAGTTGGAGTTTTTATACTTTCTTCTTATGCTAAAGTTAGAGATTTTATTAGCCAGGCCTTAGCCATTCGTAAACTCTGGTCAATTATTACTCCCCTACAAAATGAAATTAGTACGATGGTGTGGTAAGACTAGGCTAAGATGTCATACTTACTTCTTCATTACGGTAAAGTCGGAGATTTACGACACGCTTCCTTATTATGCTAAAGCTATTTTAGTACAGAGTTATTGTTCATTTATCTTGTGCTGTGTGCTCCTCATTCCCACTGTTCTGTAACTGGTGATGCAACACTGACATTTCTCCGCTGTGGGACTAATAGGGATTTCTTAATAAAATCCACACCATTCTGTCTTCATTTTATCACAAAACAAATGAAATAGATTAGCTGTAAATAAGCTAAATAACCCTGTGAGTCTTTACTTTAGTCACTTTAGGCTGTGTGAAATCTAGTAAGAAGGATTTTATTACATAGTTATAATTTGTGTGGAATAAAAGTTAGGTACCCCAGCTTTAACAAGGGCTGCGTTGTTGATGAATGAAAACAATATATTACAATTACTATCCACAAACTGCCCAAGAATGTATTTAGTTCACTGGGTACCACATGTTGAAACGCATGTGGTACCCAGACAACGTTGTCCTCGCGTTGGCCGTTACAAGATATTTTTTACTTGATTTGTTTTTTAAGAATGAGTTACAATTTCAATCCTTGAGAAAAGCAGAAATATGTTGTGCTGTGTTCCTAAACCTGTGCAGAAGCGAAACTTGCTTTGGTGGATTTAAACAGAAAACACTACAATTGCAAAAGGAATAAAACCCTGTGTGCGTTGTCACAAAAGTTAATGTTTGTTTTGTGTTCAGGCCGAGCAGCGTGGATCTGGAGCCCCTCTCCTCTTCAGCCGACAACTCGGAGTTAGGAAGCCACGGTGAGAGATTATGCACTTAACTTCATTATTGCTGAAACTAAATCTTTGATGAAATCGCCAAGAAAATCGCCAAGAAAATGTCCCAACAATGTCCCGTTTTACAGGATTATAGAGAAGAGAAAATGTTCTTAAATGAATAGTTCTGGTGTGTTGGATATCTGCGTCCCCAGACACACGGTCGACACGTCAAAGTCGTATTTTATGTTTTCAAGACGAGAATCCAACTTTAAAGCAGAATTAGGCAACATGAGTCTCCAATCTGAGAACTGTTCATTTAAGCAATCCAGTGACTTTTAATGTCAATCTAATTAAGTATCTTTTACTTTTAAATTAAACTGCAAAAACATAATACGCCACTATAATAAAGTACTAAGTATTTGTCCCAAAGAGTTTATTGGACCAAACCAGAGGAGGGAGAAATCATAGCTGGAAATCGTAAGATAAAAAAGAAATATTGAAAAGTTCTTGGCTAATAATTATAATAATAATGAGTTACACAAAAATATTAATATTTTTCTGTTGGCAGGCTTGTTTGCAGATGCTAATATGTTGTTGATGTGTTTGTGCAGCTCCCATCACCTTCAGCGTGCCAGAGCCGCTGCCCCAGAGCGCAGAGCACTTCCTCTTCTCGTTCCCCTGGTTTCACGGACCCATCTCCAGGGTCAAAGCCGCTCACCTGGTGCAGAGCTCTGGACCCGAGGGCCACGGGGTGTTTCTGGTCCGACAGAGCGAGACGCGGAGAGGAGACTATGTGCTCACGTTCAACTACCAGGGGAAAGCTAAGGTACGGCTTCAGCACAGACACAAATGTACCATCATTTATACCATCAAACAATCCAAACATCAGAACCATGTGTTCAGGTCTGGTCCAGGTCTGGTCCAGGTCTGGTCCAGGTCTGAAGTGTCAATGAACTACACTGTCAAAAGTGTGATGTGGTAGAATGAGCCTTTGTTGTGTATAGTTTAACGTTGTGCGTGTGTGTGTGTTCTCACATGTGCTGAACCTGCAGCACCTGCGTCTGTCGCTGACGGAGTGGGGCCAGTGCCGTGTGCAGCACCTGCGCTTCCCGTCTGTGGTGGACATGCTCAGTCACTTCCGCCTGTCCCCCATCCCGCTGGAGTGTGGGGCCGCGGGGGCCGTGCTGCTCTCCCGTTATGTGGTGGCTGGCTCCGCCCCTCCAGCACAAGGTCAGTTGGCAACATGTTCTAATCTTGAGCTCGTAGTGTCACTGTGGTCCTGACGTCCGCTTGCTCTCAGGTCAGCTGCCGGTGGCCATCTTGGCTCCCTTCTCGCTGCACCGATGGAGCTCAGAGCCCAGTCTGGCCTCAGGCAGCTGCAGTGTGAGGCCTGTCCCGCCGTCAGAGAACCAGCCCGCTCCTCCAGACGTCCCTCGCACCCGTGCGCCGCTGCCCGCGCTCCCCGCTGTGCCCCTGCGCCGCAGCGAGTCCGTGGGGCCGCGCCCCCTGCCCCACAGACACTCAGACTACGAGCTGGAGCCGATGCGAGGACGAAAGCGCGCCATCGACAACCAGTACATGTGCCTATGACCTCTGACCTCTGACCTGTGTGAGGGCAGCTCCGTGTCCACAGTGAATGTAAGGTTACGGAGCAGCTCTGTGAAGAGGCGAGTCCCTCACCTCCTGCTCCTGTTGTACCAAAGCCTCTGACAGTGAGGACACTGTGGACAGACTCACAGTGCACTGCACTTTACTCTGTGTTTTTACACTTTCACTTGTACAACACCGTGAGCAGCATCAGGGCGGCCTCGGCTCGTCTGTTTATCAACTTTCAACTTTCATTAGTTTTCATTTGTTCAAAGATGTTTTTCAGACAGAGCTAGAAAAGCTGTAGCCGCTTGTGCAACAGTAGTGTGTTGTGAATCGTGCTTTGCCTTCGACTGTCCAGAAGCGGCCTACTAACCCTTTACACTCCAGAACTACACATTATTTTAGTCATTGATGTTGTATTTATTATTTAGCCTTGCACTTGGTCCATTTCAAATGAACTCATTCATGAGGTAGTATTATTCTTCACAAGACGTCCTTAAGCAAAGGCCTTAAACAAAATAATACTCATTATTAGTTTTTAAGGAGATTTATAAAACATACAAATCCAATAGTTCCAAGACTTGTTTGAGAGTCTGACAGTGATGCGGTGGTTGGTGATGGCGGCGACCTGCTTTTGAACCACTAACGGAGCTCTTTTCAGGACGTGATAGTGTGTTCACAGAAGGTATTTAGAGCACAAACGTGTTTTGGTTTGTCCTATTTATTTGTATTACAATGACAAGACCTCAAACACACCAGCTCGCCTCCGCCTGAGCCCCATCAGGCGGAACATGTAAATACCCTGGATGTGGCGCACGGTTACATGTACATATTTTTAATGTATAGATTGTGCCCGTATGATTTCCAGACTGGGAACATTCTGACGACTTTCTAATGATGGAATTCAGAAATGCCTTTGTATGAACTAAATCATCTCTTAACATGATTGTAACCCCAGCTACACTTTTTACACTCACAGCATTAACAAAAACCCTAAACCAAAATATCTTTAGTAGCTTTAGGCCTTTGATAAAATACGAATATTCTATCTTTTTTACAATCGAGAAACTTTACCATCTCAGAATTGGAGATAGTGCCTTAAAGACTTGTTATAATGTTAGTTCAATATTTATTATTGCTCAGGTGAGTTCATTTCATAATAAAAGCTTAACTTACCCAAAGACATGAGAAAAACATGAGATAACTTTTGCAATATCTGGGAGAGGAATGTTGTTGATTCTGATCCCCCTTGTGGCAAATCTGAGTTAGTGCAGCGCCATAAAACAAGTCATTGGTGAATACATTTGTAGTTAGACATAAAAGCAAGTAGTCACCAAAGTACTATTGCTTTAAAGGTGCATTGTGTAACTTTTCTGATGGAAGTGGCTTGGACTTGGAAAGTTCATCAGTTTTATATAAATTAATTGTAACCTGAGTTCTTACATCGGGTTGGCTCTCCTCTCCGCAGACATGGCTTGTGTCTTGTTGATGGATTGGTTTAACGGGCAAAAGTGTTGGACAGATCAGGCATGTCAAGACTTTTTATTTGAAGAATTTACGGATATTTTTGCATATTTGACTTTGTAGTGACCCAGTGCTCAGCATGGTGCTTTTCTGTTTCATCACAGTGCTATACAGGACGCTATAAGATCAATTTTGAAGATGGTTTTTCTCTGTTTTTCTGGTGCAAGCTTTGTCAGCAAACAAAACAATTGATCCTGGAGCTCTGTAGACACAACCTGGATCCAAATTAAAGGCCCCATGCTGACCACTCCACAGCCACTGGTTCACCACAAGCTCAAATACGCACAAAATATCATAGTTTTTTTTGCATACAAACTTGCAAAATGCATCTTTAAACTCCCCAAACACTCTAGTTTTGAAATCCAGGTTATCAGCTCCTGGCCATTCTGATTGACTAAAGAGACCTCGTTACAAAACGAATTAGCTGGACCAGAAGAATAAGCAGACAGACTCCAGCAGGAAGCTTTATGGTGCACCTTTTAAAGCCGTTTTACAGAATTGGCCTAACTAGACGTCCCTATGACCCAAATCAAAATAAAGGCATTAACTACAATGTCCTCCAAAGTGAATTTTATTTTTATTTTTCTGTCTGGATATTTGTGTTTTGTCTAATCAGATTTTCTAACTTTTTTTGCTTTAACACTAACTTTAGCAGTGATCAAAACCTTCTGATTTGCTTTGTCGTAGTTTCTCATGTTCTTGAACGGGTCCCGGTGACTACTTTTATAGCACATTGGGTCAAGTACGTCGGCCAAACGAACAATGGTTGAGTCGTTTTTATATGTTCATTGCAAACCTGACTGGTAGTTTAAAGCCGGGGATCAGAAATCAAAAGTACGGTTGGTCTTCCTGACGTTTTGTGCCCTCAGTTGGATGTTCAAGCCTTTTTTTGTACTATTTATGTGGGAAAGCAACGGTATCAATTAGTTCCGAATATACATTTTTTTTTTACAAATATAACTGTCTTTGTAATGTAGCTGCTGTTGCTTATCCCCCTTTTCTTTTCCCCAAAAACTCAGGGTGTGAATGTGGTGCTGAAATTGTGTAGTGCAATGAATGCATTTTTGAATGGAAGATGTCTGTGGGTGCATTATGTCAATTTACTACAAAAATAACCTTTTAGAATTGAGTATAGTTTTGGTTCTCCAGCTAATGACACTTTAAGCATAGCCACAGCTTTATTTCTCATTTGTTTAAGTCTAGTTGATATATGTACCATGTTCATGATACTGTTCCATTCTGTCATCCCTGCACTGTAAAAAATATCAATACAATATTCCCCCTGAACTGCCAAGGAAAATTACAAGCGCTTTATACACCTTTTTGTGCTTGCATCCCTTTCAGTTACAAGCATTTTAAATTATACTAAAAAATATATATATAACTGTATATTTTACTTTTTTGTAAAATAAACGTACTCAAAAAAAGTGTGTGTGTCTTTGGCCAAGAGAAGAATACAACTGACAATGGTTTTTGTGTGTTAATAAAGTTCATTGCCTCCATGTTAAATGAATGAAACAGTATTTTAGTATAGGTGTTGGACTGAGATACCATTTGGTCTGTATAATAACCAACAGACTGAAGCAGTCGGCGCAGGTTCTGGAGGTCAGATTTTTGTTTGAAGACACAACTGAAGATTTCCTGGGGTTTTCAAAAAAATTAAAATAAATGGTTGTTATTTGCTACACGATGATTATGTTGAAGCTTTTCAGCTTCTGTAGATGAAATCAGTATGGAAAAAGTGTAAAAGGATGTTGCACCAGAAAAGAACCACAAAAGAAAGTTCAGTTTTTAAAACTTTTTTTATTTTTTAATTTTTTTACTCATTTTTTAAATTATTTATATTATCTACAAAGTAAAAGTATTAACTTAAAAGTTACATAAGGGTCAGGTGAGAAGTGGGATCTGATCACCACAGCCTTTAGATTTTATAAATAAGGTTCCTCCGTCCTCTCGGCCGCTGCTGGTCTCACAGGAAGCTTCCTTTTGGTTAGAAACTTGTGACTGGAAACAAACGCAGCACTTAGCAGCATCAACAGTAACATTAATACTGTGCAGAGGTGGAAGATTTCAACAAGGTGCAGACAAAATACGAGTTCCAGTTGAGTTCTCTTCTTCTCTTCACTGATTAGTTTCGTGTTCACATCGTACTTGGCAAAGCTGACTTGGTTTGGGACCCCTGATTGTGTGATGGGGATGAAAGCAGTCTTGTCCGTTAAAAATGTTTTAGTTTGTTAAAACATGTCACTTCATCAATCTGTTAACATTCTCTTATTGCCTAGTCTGGGGAGGGGGTCGGGAGGAAAGCAGATGTGAGACATGTCTGATGAAGAGGAGGAAGAGGGGGCCTGGGGCCTCGTGCTGAAGGCTCTGGTCGGGACGTCCCACTCAGAGCAGGTCTGGTCTACAGTTGCTGCTGATGGTGTTGCACTGCACAGAGGAGCAGATGAGTTATTGCTGATTAAAGAACAAGAACATGTGAAAAACGAATGTAGAGCTTCCACAGCGCCCTCACACTCAGTGATCCTTCATCTATCAGAGTAGTCAAACTCAGGGACAGAATTTTAAAAGTGATAGCTGGTCAGGGGCAAAACTATAAAGAATAAATACAAACTATACATATTTTACATTATTATGGAATTTTTACCATTTTTGTTTGCAATATATTTGTTCTATTAAATATGACTTTGGACGTAGTTTTCTTTTACATTTTTTAAACTTGTAGACTGCCACTGTATTATTTATCATCTAATTATAGGTTTGGTTTAAATTTTTAGAATTAATAAAATGATATTTGTTTTCTTGAGAAAATAATCTTTAAATTACATCAAATTATCACATTTCATAGTATCCATAGTAACAAATTTCTATCAATGCAGCAAGTTTATCATAATCATTCATAATCAATCAAGTCCCGCGCCCTAAAGCAGTTTACCTGGATGTGTCAGGTAGGAGAAATGTGTGGTGGAGGACACAGGGATGGGGTTCAGGGCGGTCTGAGGCATGGGGGGCTGTGGACCACCCGGCGGGCCTTGAGTCGCCATCAGCATCATGGGGGGATGTGTGGGCGCCGCATGGTGGGACTGCACCATCCCAGACTGCATGTGAGCCTGAGACCAGAGGAGCCATTAGGAAGTGTTATACTGAGAAACCATTTAAAGCTGGCGTCCCCAACTTTCAACCCACAAATAATAGAACTGCAATAAAATCTTATAACAGTTTTATTCTATTCCACTCTTATTCTATTCTCTCTCTTTCACATCTTTGGATCAACTTTTTCCAGACAGAACAGTGAAAAAGGAGGACCACTCTCAAACAAATAGTGACGAGTTGAGAGAATTATGCAAACAAAAGGTTTCCTAATATCATGATTCATGAAGACAGTGTATTGTCTAATTTGTTCATATTTTTTATTTCACAAGACTCTGTAGAACAAACATGGATTTTTAAAATATCAAATACAACTGAAGATTGCCTTCTCCTGGGACCTTCATAAACAAAGCTCGGAGACATTGTGTCAAACAAGACTCACAACACTGAGGTGGAAAGTTACAATATGTGCCCTCTCAGTCTTCACACCATTAAAGTGCACTTCTGCCACGCTTCATGATAATAATCCATCACATGTGCTTGAATGGGGGAGTGACACGATCAAAACAGTACTTTGTATGTTCAAGCTCTGGTAATATGATCTTCAAACGCTAAAAATGACAGAATAGTAAATGGATTCTGGACTGTAGTGTTGACCAAAGGCTTACTACCATCAAGTACTGAATGGAGAGGGATTTTAGCAAAACTGAAATGACCACGAGACCAATATTCCCACATAGTTTAAAAGTAATAAAAGTACAAATTTTATTAGCCACACATCAAAGCAACGTCCGAGGCCCTAAACGCTTAACTGTGTAATAAAATCCATGTCACTGGATCCTGGCTCTAAAACTGGTTTTCACATGAATGCATTTTTGGCCTCGGTCACTTCTTTAGATCAGTTTTCTCGGACAAAAAAGTGAGAGAAGGAAGGACTATGCTCAAGCAGCCAATCCGCTGTAAACCCAAAGTGTCAAAGAGTGACTAACATGGCTCCTTCTTATAAGTATGCAAAATATAACTTGTTTTCTATGATGAAGCCGGCCTGGCGTTCTGATTTGTTCAACATTTTACATTTTTATACGACCCTTTCTACAAGACCCTATTCCATGGATATTTGATGCAACACAAAGGTTAGGTACCCCAGCTTTAAAACGTGCTGCAAAGGCCTGTGTCGACACTGACCTGTTGGACGTGTGCCATGTGGTTGGGGTTGTAGCCGTGCTGCACTTGTGTGGGGTGCAGATACACGGTCTGCTGGGCCGAGGGGAACGAGCCCTGAGGGGACTGGGGATTGGGCCCCGGGGTCATGGAGGGAGGGGTGGGGGCCAGAGCCGTGTACATCTGCTGCTGAGGCTGGTTGGCCAGGTGCAGGGCCTGGGCTGCAGCTGAGGAAGAGACAACATTACTGATTACTTATTGTGGAAGTATAGAATTCATTAAAAAAAAGTCTCCTCCTGTTTGCTTCAGCTTCCTTCATTCTTATTTTTACATTTGTGGCATAACATTTGTCACATTAAAAACATCTTAAAACGGTTACATTTCCTTTGACCAATCCAGGAGCGGCCAGTCTTATAAAAGAAGTGTTTCGAAAGCACAATGAAAATCCCTGGTTGTGCAGAGTTCTAGTTAGATAGATAGATATTGCAGACTCGAGGTCCAGATCTTTTTTTGTAGTTGATAAGATAGATATTAGCCAGGAAATACTTGTTTTTATCCAACTGACTTGATCTTGTGATAAACCGCTGCATTTATGAGGAGCAAACATGTCAGAAAAACACCTGTTCACGACATCAGCGCGTATTGGGACTTGCATGAACAGCAAAACTATTAAAGATTATACTTAATTCATTTAACATCTGTAACCAGTAAATACAGCCCATCCATCTTGTGAAAGAAGCCAATCAGGACAGCTGCCGCACAGCTCAGGGTCCTGGCGGCGAGAACAAGCGGACTGAACTGCCCAACAGCAGCTCTCAGAGAAAAATTACATAATATTGTGCTTTCCAAAAAGCTGTGAGCCGCCAAGAACCAGGTCTAAATCAGGACTGAAGGAGGCCCAATCGAGGAAAACATCCCCATTGGAATATAGACTTAGTCAAATGCATATAATAGTTAATATACAACATGAACTTCAGACATTCAAAATAAAACACTATATTTAGGGGCCAACCATAACCAGCAGGTGTCATTTCAACGGACTGAAAAAGTTACTAAGTAGCAATCCCAACAGGTGTGGATCATGGTGGTGGGGTTGGTAGCTTTACTAAATGCTCAAGTTCATCAGAATTCTTGACCATGCTTTAAATGAACTAAAAATAAATAACATGACATGGTTCATGGTTTAAGCGCAATAAACAACAACAATAAAGTAAACAACGTCATTCAGCGGTCGCACCCAAATCTCGCCAACTCCCTCCCAGAGCGCTTCCCTCTGCTACGGGGCAAATACATCCACACATTTTTGGATTCTTGGAATGATTAGTAACAGAATCAACAGCCTGAAACTACACTTAGCTTTATTACTATTTAATTAATGTGAAAAACCCAAGAGTTGAGACTCGGGGGCACCGACTGACCCACTGCAGCCTGTTGGTGCTGTTGGTGCTGCACGGGGCTGGCGGCTGGGTGGTTTGGGGGTCCGCTGTGTTGGGGGGGGCCGCCCTGCTGTCCCTGTCCTGTGGGCGTGGCCGAGGGCTGGGGGTGCTGTGCGTGGGGGTGCAGGGTGGCGCCGTGATGAGTGTACTGCTGCATGGGACCTGAAGACACTGCACACGAGTGACACAAGTTAAAATTCACCAAGAGCCCCGGCGGTAAAACTTCTGTAAACATTGAGGTGAATTGGCCCTGAGCGCAGGCAAAAGGCTGGACTTTGTGTGAAACTGAGGCTTTTTAGTTTTGGCCTCTGATCATGCATTTACTCCAATGATCAATGGGAACATTCTCAGCACGGAGAAAAATCAAACTCCAAACATTGTCCATGGTAAATATTCAAATTCAGATATTTGTCAGAGGCATATATCTGAGATTTCAGTATTTGAACAATATTTATAGGATTGTTTGAAATTTGAATATTAAGCTTTTATCATTAAACAATGCAATGACTGGTTAAATGCATTCAAAATTGGAATTGTCCAAAGGGGGCAATATAATCAAGATTTAAATGTATTGTCATATCAGCCAGCCTTACAGAGGGGCAAACACATTTTGCTACTAAACCTACATACATCAAAGTAAGCTGTGATCTACAATGAATACTTATACTCAGTAAATATATGCATGTGGAGTTTGGGACCTATAAATAAGACTCCAGAGCAGACCTGTGAATTATAAAGCTGTATAATTACAAAGTAGCAGCACTGCTTTACATAGTTTTTAAGATTAACACTTTGAAAACAAGATGGAATTGCATGGATTGCCAACTCCGCGGTTAGAGGAAGGTGTGGGAAGGAATATGCACACTTAATAAGATTATAGCCCCGCTTTACTTGCCCCGCAGTGGGGAAATTTCAGAATGAAGGGAATTGAACTGCAGTAATGTTTTTGGACACAGTAGAACATGATTAAAACTCAAGAGCTGGCAGACATCCAGGCAGAGGCAGAGGACGTACCATACATGGTGTGTGTCTGCTCTGGGTACTGAGAGCTGGAAGGTTGGCCGTGTGTGGGAGGGGCCATCATCCTGGCACTGCCCTGCATCACTGGACTGAACATGTGCTGAGCCTGGAGGAAACAAGTCACTCACGTTTTACAATAACATCCTACAAAACAGTTCCTCAGGTGAGTAAATGTATCCAGTAATTACACTACTAACGCTAACATTATTAACTACTCAATCTCCCGGGGTACATGCAGTGATTTTTTTTGTTATACATTTTTAAATACAGATTGAAATTGTAACATACAACACATGGTGAAACTAGGGCAAATACTGCTGCTTGATTGTATATTTATGTTTATATATATTTGCATGTGTGGGTATGTACTGCAAGTACAGTAGGCAAAATGTACAAAAAAAGTCATGTAAACTAAGGAGTGTAAATATTGTAAATACTTATGAATGCAAAATTTCTGCTCGAATGAATCAAATAAATCCATTTGATAAAACACAACTGAGAACATTCCACATAAAACAGCTGAAACATTATAGTAGATTGAGGACTACTGAAGTTAATAACGAATGATTTTAACAATTAAAATAAAAAGTTGAATAGAGACATGTGGGAAACCAGGTCGGTGTGTAGTGTCCTGGATTCAGGAACTCATGCAGCAATTCTAAACAGCTTGACGCCTAAAGGTTTAACCCCAGAACCAGGCCACAGTGGGGTCTACAGGTGGACCATACCTGTGACTGGTAGTGGGGCATCTGCTGTACCAGGGGCTGGCTGGTGAACTGCTGCGGGCTGCAGGTGAAGTACTGGGTTGAGTAGGCGGGGCTAGTGGCCATGATGGGTGGCCCCGCTGCTGTGGCCGAGTGCATCATGGTGGGTGTGCCGGGAGCGTGGTGCTGCTCTGACCTCTGCTGGGGCATGTTGGGAACTGGAGTGTAGGCGAGAGACACGAGAGGACGTGGTTATTACTTTTGAGGACAGTACAAGCCGTCAATTCTAAGCAACAATTAAAATACTAAAATTCCAGGGACTACAGATGAAAAAATGCCAACTTGGCTAATTCTGATGCATTTAAAGAGCAGTTTATTAACGCACAATGTCCCTGTCAAATAAACTGATAAAATAAAAATACGATTAAAAACAAAGTTGTATTTTTTTCTGTTTTTAACAATGATACCCCTTTTCAATAATACAAGGATAATTACAATATCATAGAATTTAAGCAAGAATTAACCCACTAAAAGATTTTTCTTTGGCTTTAGGGCAGGGTCGCAGAGGCGCAGGAAACTCATTTAAACCACTTGTAAACTCTATCAACCAAAAATATTCCGACCACCTGCGAGGGTGGGAGCGGCCTTTCCCATATAACTGTCAATCTCACACTCCATTCTTCTCTCAACCAAACATTTCTATAGTTACTACTTTTTACAGTAATGATATTTTAAGGTGTTTTATTGACTCCAACAAACTAATTCATAATTTATAGTTTCGTAATCACAAACACCGACAGAATCTCCAAACAGACTTCTGCCTGCGCTGCGTCCTCAGTGGCAGATGGCGACAGCAGAAGTTATTCTCACCTTTACCTGGTCTGTAGGGTTTGGACTGGCTGACCGTCATGTGAGAGATCGGGAGCTGGTACATGGGAGACTGCACCAACAGAAAGTAAACATTAGAAAACATTAGTTCACTTTGTTCCATCAGTAACAAATCAAATCCCATACAAGAGAAGAAGGATTTAACCTGCTTCTGAAGTTACCAAAAGAAAAAGGTTTTAGCATCCCTTACCTGGGACCACATGCATGTTAACATTTTACAGGACTACTGAACAAAAAGACGTTTTTTTTAGTCTGAAAATCAAGAACATACCATGCATTTGAAAAAGACTATTAGGAAAAAAACAAGTCTACCTGAGATAACAGAGATACGCAATACAAAATGACAAGACAAGTTTCAGTGATGGATTCAAATGGATTGCAATAAGAAGTTGGCAAACCAACATCTGATGGCATTATTTTAACAAGCAAGCAAAACATCCGAGAACAGTTTGGGAATTAAAAAATAAAGAGTAAAAGTAAAAATAGAAATCTAGGGAAAATAAAATCACAAACCTTCCATATAATGCTTTTCTAATGGAGCAAGAGAGAGAGGAGAAGGGGAGGGAAAAGGGAAAGACACCACTCTTTAGTATTTGACTTGTGTTCAAATGATGTTGGATCACCAAGGGTTTCTTAGTGCAACTCAAATAAGTTCAATGTTATTTCAATGCATACACCATCGTTTCATACTATGGTCATTATTTATACAAACAGCTACAAGTATGTTATGGCAGAACATGACAGATGAGTAAATGGTACATTATGAAGCAGTAGTTAATCATGTTATGCTGTGAAGAGAACATTTATGAAGCAGGTAACACTAGAACCTTTTGGTTAAAACATTCAACAGATTCTTTCACTTTAGCTTTTTGTACCAAAAATACGGTTATGATGGTTAAAAGAACCAAAACATCAATCAAAACCAATAACTTGCCCGCCCTCCAAGTCTGAAGTCTGAAGTGATTGTGACTAAGAATACATTTATGTTAAGTGTCCTCACAATAATATAGATTATTTAACTTTATCTCTACCAGAACAAAGCAGTTGACGTGCTTTACTGACACCCTCTAATCAAACCCAAATGACAACGTCTTGAGAGTTCTATAGTTCTTCATGAGAGAATGGATGTAGTGCTGGCTCACCTGAACACCAGGACTGACTGGGGTCAGTGGGTACATTTGGGGGAAGCAGACCGCCTGTCCGTAGACAGTGGGGGGCTGTGGCACCACGATGGAGGGGCTGGGCTGCCCCTGAGGCCGCGGGGGTGTTGGAGTGTTGGCCGGTTTTGGCTGAGAAAACGGCATGTGCCATGTTATCATTTACCATGTTATAAAGTCAGTACTGTGTAAACGTGCTGAAGTTACCTGTGCATTAAACCGGGGCTTGAACTCATTGGCATTAGGGTTCAGTGTAGATTTTCTCACTTGACTTGAGAAGGAAAAAAAACACAAAATAAGAATTTTAGTAATTCACCAAGTATCCATTGTGACATCAATAAAGTTTATCTTATCTTAAGTCAATGTTTACAGACACTAAGGCTGTGAGTAGGATTTTAATCTAATTAAAAAGTTCTTTCAATATATAACCATTTAACTGCATCCAAAAGTAATACAGATGTATATTTACAGACTGAAAGTTTTCTGGCTGCACCCTGTTAAAAAGGACCATATCATTGAAGGCACTTTTTTTTGTTAAAATGTGATTACCGGTAGTTGCACAGACCTACATGCAACATCTAAGTCAAAATCTGAGATGTAAATGTGCATCACTGTGTAAACATTATGTCCACTGCAAAAGCAATTTCCCTCAGGATGTAAAAAAACTGCACCCTTTTTAGAGCAAACAAAAAATTGGTAAAAGTTTATGTAATTCAATTTTAACTTCTCTGTCAAAAAAGTAAATAAGTAAGTAAATTAAAGCCGCAAGCGGCGATGAAAGGCCTCGCCACTCTTGCGACCGCCTCCCGGGCGCCAGTCCCACAAGCGTCACGCGGCGTACTCGCCGACAAATTGGCAGCCCGATCTGACCAGGGTTACGTACATAAAAGTTCATTAATATGAAAAAGTGCGTCCCTAGTGGTCACCTCCGGGACATGCACCCTCTACGTAGAGTAGTATTTTGCTCGTACAGATGTAAAGATTTGATTTTGCAACTTTGGTGAAGATCGGAAAAGTTTAGGTCAGAAGCCTTACATAGGTGGCGCTGTAGAGTCATATTAGGTGTGTGTTTTCACACCATTACTCTCAGGCCATTTCCTTGGCATTGTTTGTCACGCTTGAACTCTCTGACCCGGCTTGGATTGGCCCCTGTGTACGGGGTCTGAGGGCGCCGCAATTCGGTTTAATTGGATTTAATAGAATATCTGCCTGTTTTTGACTGCTAAAATGCATACAATATTGTCCCTCGTTACAGGAAGATGTGTTTTTCTCCTTGCTGTGTCTTCCCTCCACTCTTATCTCACATTCCTCGGGCCAAGGCCATCATAATAAATCTGGACTCTACAACAATTTCACACTCGTTCAGTCAGTTCCAGCTTGGATCCCGCTCCCCCCGCCTCCCTCTGATCTCTCCCTCCCCTCCCCTCCTCACTGTGTTTCCGGCTCACCCCCTCCCTGACCCCGCCCCCCTCTGACAGCCACATTGGGCCGGCTGCAGAAGGTGCTCATCCCGAAAAAAAATCCGTGGTTTATACAAAGCACAATGTTTTCTATCCAACTGTCTGTTGTAACCTGTATGTTATTGCTCTCTGCTGTTTATTCTACTGTTTGTCGCATGGCGCCGGAAAGATGGCGTCGTGGCAAGAGCTCTGGTGTGTGTCGTCTCTGTCTGGCGCACACCGGGGTAGTCTTGCACAGTTTTTCCAATGTGGTTTTACTGCAAATGGCAAATAAATGAATCTGAATCTGAATCTGAGCTGTTAGTGATGTGAGTTTCAGCTCTGTAGGTCTGAGCCTGTGGTCAGGAGAGCATCAAACAGGAATAAAACTGTTGAGGACAAATGGTTATATAAACTTATTATGAGGTCGGTTTCAAATTACATTTGTGACAAGGGAGTGCTATCACTTCCTCCTTCGGCAGTTTGGGATGGATGTAATTCTTTAATCAAATTGTATTATCTTACAAGAGCTAATCTATTTTAGCAGGTTTGGGGTTGGGGTCATTAATTATTATTCTACAATGGTGTTTGGATTCTCAATCTGGTGTGATGAATCGAAGTTTTAAATTCTCAAGGATGCTTTTGAATCTCTGTGGTTATATTCTATCTCATTAATCTGGATACACTCATAAACTTTTTGCATTGTCAAATTCAACATGTTGAAAACAAGTGAATTTGACAGTAGTAATAAAATGTCATAACTGTAAGTACTTTTATCTACTTTTGAAGCAAAGGTTTGTGAAATGGGGCGACAGTAGCTCAGTTGGACGAGCAATTGGCTTAAGGCCAGAAGGTCATGGGTTCAATTCACCTCCGCACTTCTCAATCGACTCCCACTGATGACTGCTGTCTTTGTGTACGAGGGCAAGACACTTAACCACACTTTGCCAAAGCCACTGAAAGTCAAGGCTTGCTCATCTCAGAGAGCAGTATCCTCCTGTGATCACATGCAGAGGGTCAGTGAGGGGTGGTGCTATGAGACTTGGGTGGCATCTCGATTGCACCCCCTGACCCAGTAATGGATTAAAGGGTAGGAAAAGGGATGGATGGATGGGTTTGGAATGGTCCTTTACCATTTGCTATTGGCAATGGTAACATATTCTCTATAAGTTTGAATGCTCTATGGTTGATGCATTTTTATTCTATTTTTTACTCTATTGTGACTCTAAAGCTCGGCTGCAGCTTGAGTCAAGGATATTTAGTTTGTGAATTCTGTCACTTTTATATTCTAAAATAACTTGATTCAAATTTTAGGTGCTCTATCTGAGGATAACATTGTATGATATATTTTAATCTTATGTGGAAATGTGTTTATGACAACAAGGAAAGTCAAATTTTATTTGTTACTACTATTTAATCATTACTAAAACGCTACAATATCATACTTTTCATTTTACACATTTTAAACAGTCTGTCAGTTCCAAGACTAAAAGTCAAAGTTTTTGTCTGTCAGATGTCTGAATATGTAACATGTGATATTGCATTTGGTTCACAGTTATGGAGCTTTCGCGAAAAGTTCACTGTGGTAGACCCGGCTGCTGCTTGCCAGACCTACATGCCTGCTCATTCGACTCATATACCAGCAAGCCCACATCTAATAACCAATAACACCAGGACAGAAGTTAAAAGCGGGAGATGCCTCCCCCAACCTCCCGGCCTTCTGAAGTCTTGCAAGGTAGCATGTCGCTAAGACTGTTTGCAATGATGCGTTGTTTTGGAGGGGTCGCTTGGCTCCACGTGTTGTCGTGGCGTGGCCGGGATGTCCTCAGTTTGGCTGCATGTTGGTCTGCTCCTCCTCGGTCCTGGCATGCTGTGGTTCGCGTGTCTCACTGCTTCTCCTCTGGGGCTCTTTCTGCGGGTGTCCGCAGGGCCCTCCGGGGCTCCGTGCTGCACGTCTCCTCGTGGTTGCTGCCATCGTCCCTCCCCCCTAACCCGTGCGTGTCACTGCCTCCGATTGGCGGTGCGCGTTGTCCCGTTGCTTTTCCAAATTCCTGGCATGTGAGTGTGTGAGCGGACGGTTAATCGGTGTTGGGTGCAGGCGGCTGTTTTTGCCCTGCGTCACTGGATGCAGGCGTCAGTTTTGCGTGCTTGGTCTGAGGTCCGTTTTCAACGTTGTTTGAGCTAACTTGAGGGGCAATGATATTAAATGCATCAATTCTATTGTTGAGGGTGTAATGCCCAGTTATTTGTCTGTTCTTTGTTTATATGCTTTTTGTGTGTATTTTTATTTTCCGCCAGTTGTGGGCGCCCTTGTCTAGTCCCTGGCTGTGCAAGCTCTGAGCTATGCGCAGAAGAAGCGATTCGGTAAGGAGACGAAAGGTGCATGTTAATGACACAATTAAGAGATAAGAGTTTTTTGAGCAGAAATAGCAAAAAAGACCAAGCGAGAGCTAATTCCTCCCTGTACACAGCCAACGAGGTTAGTTCTTGTCCTGTTAATTTTCTGTAACTTTATTTTTGTGTAACGTCTATTTTGTGTATTTATGCTAAGTACATTGTTTTTTATTGTCTGTCTTCTATAGTTTTAGGTGTGTATAATGGTCTGTAAAGATGGATGCTAATAAATTGTCATCAGTTGAAGAAAACCATTGTGTCTTGAGTACTCGGGGGGAATTATAGTGAAAACTGGACTGTTCGGCAGCAAAGTGGAGACCACGAGGCGCCGCCTGTGAAGAAATGATGACAAAAACAAGTTTGTTACCAACAGTTTGATATGAGTGAGCCAAGTGAGATCCAGATTCAAGTAAAGGACAGTGCAGAGCCCAAAAAGATGGTAGGATAATGAAAATAATATTGTGATGATGATGAGAAAATGTCACTCACTAAGGAAGAAGTGGAAAGATGAAAATACTCACCCCAAAAAGGGAAAGGGAAAAGAAATGCAGGATGAGAAAAAAAAAACATTGCTACAAAGATTTAACTAATTTATGTAAATGGAGAATACATGCAAAATCATCCAGCAATCCCTCTCTAAATCAGATACTTTAAATAGTGCAACTGTCAATGATATTGATTAATGATGTCACAACCTTTTGCAGAGTCAAAAGACTTATGATGAAATACGCAGCCTTCCTCACCAGATCAAAGAGACACGTCGTAAGTTGATCTTTGTGTTCAGATCTCAAAGCTCATTGTAAATAAAGCTTTCAAAATCGTTTGGTGGAAATGAAGGAAGAAGAAGATTGGCACGTGCTGGCTCCTCTTTCAGTCCACAATAACTGCAAATCACGCACTTCTTCGGGTAAAACATCTATTGGTTCAAGTAAGTCCTATGTAAGGCTCAAGACGCAGCAGCAGAAGCGCTGCAAGCCATGCTACTCTCAAGGTGTTACAAGAACAGAAAAGGAACAGCAAGAAATAGAGGAAACTTGAAACCAGAATAGGAGAAAGCTGCAGAGATAAGTCTTTGTTTGGAAAAGCGTTTTGAAAGAGAAGAGAGAACATAAAGATGAGAATGCAGAGAGAACTAGATGAAGCAAAAATGAAAGTCAACAAGAGGAAGAGTATTTTAGTCTTCAAAGAACACTTGATGAGAAGAAAAGAAAGTTACAACAACTGGAAAAAAGGTTAAAGTTCAAAGCAGCACAAGCAAGAATGCATGTTTTATGATCAAACAAGCTGTGGTTGAAGAGTGTGAATTTGAACTGCAGTAGTATAAAACACTGAAGTCAAAGACTATGAGCAGTAAGGTCTTTATCCTCTTCACGGTAAGTTCCCAGCTGTAAGTGCCTTTCCAATGTGATAGTACAACAGACCTTGTGAAAGTTTTGCAAGTGCCATTGAGGGCATGCCGCCTTCCTTTACTGAAACGCAGTGTTTGCGGAGATATTAAGATACTGTGACTGGTAACTTTCATTTCAAACATGAATGACCGAAGAATATTCCGGAAAATGACAAAATATTTTATTTCGGAGATATGTGGGTGGACAAGCAAAAGGTGCTCGGGCGGATATTTTCTGCTCGGAACTGTATGGCATATGTAGCAGCATCGGGAAGATCCTTGAAGTCGAACGGTACGGAACATCATTCACTATCGCAAAAGCTTATCGATATAAAAACTAAAAAATAATTAGGCCCAAAATAACATAAGGGACAGTTTTGATCTAAGAGACTTTTGCAGATGTCTTGCGCAGTTGTGGAAGCAGCTAGGCATCACATAAGTCATTAGAGATCTTGAATGAATGTATGAAAAACAGATAATCCTCTCAAGTTACCAGACGGGGCGCTGCTAGTGGAATCGCAAAAGTAATGAAATACAGAACAAACCATCTACTTTCCGTCATTCGCAATTGGTGCATTCTTAACAAGAGAAGCTAAGATAGCCTGCAATCCAGTCACATCGGTGCATTTTGAAACAAAGTGAGTAGACAAACATGAAACTCTGAAGTAATACGGCAAGATAATTGGAGCTAAAAACATGCACAATTTCAGAAGAAAATACATTATTTACATGTGTGTTCTGTAAAAATGCAGGCATAATCTTCATAAGTGCAAGAAGTTTTCGGGGAAAACTTGTGCCAGACAGAGTCAAAATTCATTCAGTCTGAAGGTTATGTTTTGGTTGTCTTAAACCAGGCATATCTTAGAAGTGTTGCAAATCGCGGCATCTGTTGAAACATGGCAATAAAAAACCCTACCTGTCTGCACGAAGACAGAGTCAAAGCAAGAACAACGGAAAGACAACAGAGAAGCAAGTACAAACAACGTAAAGACCAGTTTCAAGGTAACAGTTCAACTCCAGAACCTCAGTTATAGGACAAGTAATCATAATAGAGTGACTTCAAGAAGGCACCCACCAAACAGTGCATTAGTTCCAGTTTGGCTTTCTACTTCAAAAGAAGTACGAAAGAAGAAAAAATCCTTGTGTATGGTTCTGGATTTACATAGTGAAACTTTTGTTCTCAGTGAAGTTGCCGTTCATATGCATGGACAAGATCCAGTCAAACTAGAACTGTCAACATGTCTTCAAAGACACTGGTTGTTCAGTCCCACCGATTACCAAAACTAAAGTTCGAGGCGTTAACTCAAGCAAGAAAATACCTCTGCTCCAACATTCACAAGAACGTTATTCCAGCCAACAAAGCTCAATACCAACTGATGAGACAGCTAAAGCTTGGCAATTTGGAGCACCTACAGTCAGAGATCACGCTTTACAAGACTGAAGTAGGGAGGTTGGGTGAGGTATAATGTCCAAGCTCTCCTCCCCGAGAAGTTGTATCAGGCAAAGAAGACGAGGCCTTATGCTCAGGTACTGGACTGGGATGGAGCATCATTGTACAAAGTAAATCCTCTTGTAAACTATGGTGAAGCTATCGGGATCAGGCATCGGTTATTGTAAAAGAAAGTCATTCCCAGTGGAGTCCTCCTTAAATCTTACAGTTAAGTTTCACTATTGTTAAGGACAAGGTGAGAGAGTCACAGTTCAGACATTATCAAGGACCTTGAGTCTGATTTCTCAGAAAGGATCTTGATGACACGTTTCTCAAGAAGATTTGAAGTTCCTCTCCAAGCTTAGAGAGAACATCAAACTAATAAAGCGGACACTACGAGCTGCCTGACCATTTCGTGATGAAAGGTCCAAGCTCCCAGACAATAAGGTATGTGCAATGCGTCGTTGAAAGTGTTTGGAGAAGAGATTGAAAAAGGACAAGACATACTATAATGGACTATGCAAAGCTTCATGGATGATGTAATCTCAAGTGGAGATGCCGAAAAGGTCCAGAGAAGAGGTTGGGACAACACGCCTGCGTGGTTTATCCACACCATGGGGTCTATCATCCGCACCAACAGGTAAAATCCGAGTAGTATTGATGCCTCAGTAAATATCAGATACTCCTAAACGACCATCTATGACTGGTCCTGGACCTAGACGAACATGTTGGTGGCGTTCTTTGTCGTTTTCGCAAAAGTTCTGTCGCATTCACCGTGATTATTGAGCGATGTTTCACAATTTTCCCACGTCACAAGAGTGATCAGGATTATTTAAGGTTTCTTTGGTGGTGAGAGGGGAGTTTTAGAGACCCACACCTTCAGTTTTATCGAATGAAGTCCATCTTTTTGGTGCAGCGTCTTTCCAGGCTGTGCAACTTTGGCCTGAAACACATAGCACCAATGGACAAGGCAATTTGAGACATGGCCATTCGTTTATACAAAGAATGTTTATGTTGATGATGGGTTGGTGAGTGTTCTTAGAAATGTCGAAGCCATTAAACTTATCAAAGACTCAAGGGGAAACTATGGATTCAGGAAAGTTAAGACTCCAATGTTTGTGTGTAACAGTGAAAAATGTAATGTCACTATTTCCAGAAAAGGAGCGTGCTATCTGTTAATGATCTGAGAGATCCTAGTTGTTTCTTTTGTAATTGCACATGTGAAACTATAACAACTGTATTTGTTTATTTAAGCTTGGCTGTATTAACCTAATGTCAATTTATTTTTGTATAGCCCTAAATCACAGCAGTAGTTATCTCGGAGGACTTAACAAAACCGTTGAATTCGCCAACACAGATCAGAGAATCAAACTGTGAAAACACAAGAAATATAGAAATAACCCTCTGGAACTCACTCCCACTGCACATTAGAAAGTCTGACTCACTATAACAAACTTTAAACCAGTAAACCCATCTGTTTAAACTAGCTTTTCTGTAAAACCCCCATTTTATTTCCTATGTGAGGTGTGTTTGAGTGTCCAAAAAAGCGCTATACAAGTTTGATGTATTAAAATTAATGTTGAAAAAAAAAAAAAAAAAACTTAAGGAAACATGAAAACACAATGGTTTGGTAGAAATGGAGCACAAATTGAACCGGAAAAAATAATCTTTTGTCTGCATTTTTTCATTGGACTGGACTCAGGCCCGGGTTATACTCCCACATGGAGATTCTACTACTTGGATATGAAAAAATTGTAATGTAATGTATAATATTGCTAATGAAACTGTCAAAATGAGACTAGATGCGGATCGGTCTGGGATCGTGACGCAGACCGAAGACATTTTATTGATGTTCCGAAGACGACACGAACAGTCAATGTTACAGCATGTGATTTTAAAGCATGTAGGAATCGTCCAATCAGCAGCTGCCACGGTGCCAGTAGCTTCGGCCTTCAGTTAACCAAAACATCAAGTGGAAATTTACTGATTCTTGTGCATATACTGGCTTAATTATGAGTATAGCTATAACCAGTTGCTTGAAAAGTGTTGTAAAATTCAGAAATACTAGATTTAACTTCCCAGCCAGTGCCTTGCCTTTAAACAGCCGAGGGCTTACCTGGCTGCAGCTCCAACATTCCCATAATTGAGCAGATTTGCATGAGGGGCCTGGGCTGGCTGTTCACTGCCTCTGTCTCCTACAGCTCAGAGTTTCCTCAGAGGTAAATGAATAGAATACCTCCAGGCCAGGCCACAGTATTAAGTTAAGCCCATCTCAAAGGCAATATAAACGGATCTGAGCCTCCCTCTGGCTGGCTCCCATGGGTCTGACGGCAAAGCCAGACTCTCAGCTGTAAATCTGTCCATCAGGAGCCCGAATAGCCTGAATAACCACGGTGCCACTTAAGCCCCTTAACAAGGAGGATGAGCGGGCGCCACTGCCTGGATAAACACTGCCTCATGTTGTGAGCTCTCCAACTTCACTTTGAAACTAAGAAAGAATATTTTTCTTACTGGGCCTGTCGAGTGTACTTCCCGTCAGAGCTGATGTGGAGATAGTTTTGAGTGGATTACAAGCCCTAATGGAGATGTTATTGATTTGTATTCAAGCTGATACAAGTTTTTCTTTCTTTTTTTTCTGGTTACTGTAACTTTTATCAATCAATAAATCAATCAATCTTTATTTGTAGAGCGCATTTGCAACACAGAGCAACACAAAGCGTCTGTCCACATCACACAAGGCACAAATCCTCACATAAAACACCAAAATCACCATTGAAACACAAATAAAATCACACAGGGGATTCAAATATTAAATGACCAAAGTGCATTCAAATTACAAATAACTTTAGAATTACCATGTTTGTATTGCTTGAATAAGATATTTTTCGCATATCCAGCTGTGGTACCATGACAGACTTTACAGGCAAAACTCTAGATTAAAAATTGTCTTACAATGTCAAAGTACCCGCAAAGTGAGTTTTATAAAGCCTGTATTCGTTGGTTTTTTGCTCACAGCTTGTAAAACCCCCAAAAATAATAATAATAATAATAACAAATATTTGGCACGTGTCACTTTCATGTAATATGTCTATAACAGATCGGTTTGGTTTGAAATAATTGGTTGAATTACAGGAATCAATGAACTTTTAAATTTATTCTTGTATATTTCTTTTTATTTGATCTTTATTTCAGACACATAAAGAGTCCATATAACACAAAAAACCCACTTAACCCGCTTTGCCTTTAAGGAGTGCGGAAGTGTATGCATCAAACTGAAATTTCCCCATTGCGGGACAAATGGAAGACCTTCTTTCTTTTTTCTTTCTTTCTTTAAATCACAACAGTAGTTATCTCGGACAAAACTGTTGAATTCGCCAACACAGATCAGAGAATCAAACTGTTCAAACACAAGAAATGCAATGATAGAAACACAGAGCCATTGGTCCATAAGGGGCAGATGACCATAAATGTTGATAAATGTTGAATTTTTAAAGTTTTGCTAGTGTACAGCTCTATGAAGCCTGGGAGGTACTGGATGTGCGCTTCTTACTTTGACTCCCATTCCGTTTTTTGTCTCTTCAGTCATTATGTACATTAGAACTTAGGTCACATGTTTCCAAAGATCAAATAAATTTTACAACAAAGAAAAAAGGAACTAAAACATCTATACCAAGAATTTTAGTTTTAAATCATGCCTGACAGAGAGGGGTTCAGACTGAAGTCGGGACTTATGCTGCCTCACCCCTATTGCAACTGTGACAATATCATAAACTAAAAGTTAAACTTCAACAGTCAACATTATGGTTTGCAAGATCAATAATTTTTTTTAACATTCACTCTTTCTAACCCTTTGTGTCACAATCACCATTCTGTCTTTTTGATCCTGGTGTTAATATTTTCATTATGTCTTTGTGAATCCAGATAGGACCCTTAACAATCGATTGTGCCATCTGTCCCTGAAGTTGTTCTGTGATCTAGAACACTCCTGATTGGCTCTCTGGTTGCTAGGTCATTGCTATCCCCGAATTTATCTCTGGATTGGCCAATGGAGGTTGTTAGCACTAGCGGCTCCTTCTGCAAAAAGGCAACCAACCACTCCGTACAGTCTATGCCTCCATGGGTATCCCCAGTGGTATATACAGCCCACCACAGCTTGAGAAACACTAGAGTAGGGGTCTCCAGTAGCTCACCAGCCTCTTTCAGGTAGCTCCCGAAAGGATTTAGAATTTAACAAATGATCTTGAATGAATACATTTTTAGTCATTACCCATCTATTATAAGTATATAGGGTTTTACAGTGTTATGGTATATTCATGTATTCTCTTATTCTCTGTTTTTTGTTCTAATTATTACATCAATTTTTTTTATCCGCCTGCAAAAAGGAGTAGCTCTCTGCATCATTTGTTGCATAAAAGTAGTGAAGAAATTGACAACCTTGTGCATATTGTCAGAATTTGAGTTTAACTTTGACCACAATTGCTCCATAATTTCATGAAATTAGCACTCTGATTGAAAATGCTTGAGACCCCTGCACTAGACTATACAAGGCCGGACCATTTCACCACACAACACAATCAGACATAGTTCATACAAGTACCACGTTTTCTGTTATGTCTGGTGTTTCTTACTTGTAATTATTCTCCATGTGACAATAACATGGAATAAAACGTCTTGTAAAGTCTAAACCGAAACAACCACCGGAAAATCTTTAATTAAATATACAATGTCGTCTGCTGCTTCTGCATTCATTGCTTGTGCTGCATTCAGACGATGACCTTTCCCAGCACTTGCCGTGTTTTGTGCGCCGTAGAAAGCCATGTAAAGACGTTATCGGGCTGCAGCAGAGACTATAGGGCTGGTCTGGAGCCACCTGGGGCTGTGGTAATTGAGTTTACAGCAGGAAC